TGTGTGTGTGTGTGTGCTGTCATGTGAATCATTTTCTGATCAAATAAAGGCAAACATAAGGCTAGATAAAGCTCTGAAATGGACATTTTTAAAATGTGTTTTTCTGTGTAGTTAATCATTATGACAGTATTATTATCAGAGCGACTGTTATATTCTCTTTGCTGCACTTACAGGATCATTCTCTTGAATTAGTAGAACTTAATTTCATAAGTTTTGCCATCATTTGTATCAGTTATAATAACTTTAGAATTTTTAGGATTTAGAAACCCCTCAAAATTACTTCAACGAAGTGTGACGAGGCAAGAAACACAAGCAGGTTGTAAACAAGCAAACAGTTTAGCCACATTATTTAAAACCACTTATCAAACCCTCAAATGTTGACAATAATCCCTTATTACACAAGAAAACTATGCGCGCTTACCTACAGCAAGTTCTGTAGGTCAAAGTTAAACCAGGAAATAAATCTCTAAACTGTGATGGATGTTTAGAACGGGCACTTTGGGCAATTTACTGGGTGCTTTAGTGTTCATTTTATCTTCCGAATGAATCTGACCAACCTGAGTGTTTAAAACCCATTTGATTGTCTGACAGCTTGTGTTTGTAGCCCTGCCAAACTTATTTTTTGATAGGAATAATCATCAAAATTATCTATTATTGAGAATAAACAATAAAAAATTGTATGAAACATCATATAACATATAAAAACATTATTCCTGGTATCTTTAGTGTCACAGTTTTTGTTTCTAGCCTCTGATATGAAGACATTTACAGGGAAACGTTAAGCCAGATTTGCTTTGTTTTGTTGAAACCCTTTTCGCACGTGGAGCTGATGATTTCCACCCGGGTCCTCCTCCCCCCTGTGACGTAGGGAGGGGGGAAAGAATGAAAAAGAAAGGTAAATAAACAAACAATCAGCCGCAGGCTTGTTCTGGCTCTCCTTCTCTGTTGCACCTCATTTGAAGCCTTATAAATCAGGCTTCCACCCGGAGACAGGGTGTTAGCAGGCCTCCCAGACAACACACACACATGCACATACAAAAAAAGCACACACACAGGTCTGCTGTTCATTAAGCCCATGATCAAATCCTTTGGTGTGTGTGTGGGAGACGGGGGGAACCAAAATGTGTGTGTGTACTACCATGCCCAATACGTATGACAGTGTTCATACGTGTGTGTCAGTCTGTGCAGTTACCCTCCTCCCTTCCCACACCTATTTCCCCTAAAGAAAGAAATAATCCCACCTCAACCCCACCTGGATCTCAGCTTTTCTCCATGTGTTCATAAAACATGTACGATACCTGTCGCAGCTCCACGACAACGTCGTGACAAGTGCACTCTGACTCCGACGCCTGCAGAAAAGATATTGGGTGGGGCAGTAGGTGTGTTGGAGGGAGTATGCCTGGTTAGTTTTCAGTGACTGTTTTCACACATAAAATAAAGGCCTGGACTCGATCAAGGTGGGTGTTTAAGTTGTAAACTGGAAGCAGAAGAGGCAGTAGCTGTAGATGTAGAGTGTGAGGAATGGATACAATTCAGTTTTTTATTTATAAGCTCTTCCAGTGGACATTATCACATTATTTGCTTCTGGGTTTCTCAGTGTGAATTACAGAAAATACATAACAGGAACTGATTTGCATAAACAGTCTCTTTTCCCACTCTCACAATCAGCAAATACATTTACATGAGCAGTAGCCACAGTTCTTATTTCAGGCTTGTGGAACAGGGTTTTTAAACATAGGGCAAGGTTTTGATTATTTTTAGCCAAGGCACAAACAGGCATTGTTATTCTAAAGCAGGCGCATTTAGTGAAGAGGGTAAACTCACACCTTGGCTCAAAAGTAGCACAACATTTCTGTTACCTCAAGCTGTTAACTCAATCGTGCGCACATGCATTCGCCTAAAACGGTTGCCGTATTTGTACAAACAAGCACATGGCAGTTCTTCCACACCTCCAACCAGACCCTTTACATATTTACTCACCAAACTTGGCACCTGCACCCCCACCCACAAAAATACACCTTCTGCACGCGCTCACCGAGACACCAAGAACATGACCATTCACACTTTACGAGCTGGAAAAAAAAAACACGAACCTTGCCTTTAAAAAAGCGGCCAGTTAGGGAGGTTCACGAACTTTGCACATTTAAAAACGTCAGATGGTTTGTTGGTTCTTCTCCATCACACCTCGATTTCCTTCAGCAGACATTTGACTGTGATTAGGAGTGCAGAGAGTCAAGCTAGAGGTCAGCGCTGAACTCAGGCCAGGCTGATTGGGAGTTGTAATTAGAGGAGTTGCTCTGTCTCAGGCCACTTCTCCCCAGAGCATTCACACAGGCTCAGTATCATATGCTGCGCTGCGGGGGAAATCGGAGCTTCAACCCCAACTTGGTGGAGAGGGTGAGCTTAGGGGTTTCAGCCGAGCCAACCCCCAGATTCGCCAGCACCACCAAACTCCACCAGACACACACACATAAATGCAGTCAAAGGAGCCAAGAGTGGAAGGAATTGTGATCTCGGCTGTTTCATAAATGCTTATATTTGTCTAATATCTGTGATTTTGGCAAATTTGAGGACTGTCTTTCTTAATCCCTATCATTCAAAATATTTCAGAATTTACACATATGTGAAGAATGGGGCCCCGTTTTTATATGCATACAAAAAGCATTGTTACCCATTCCTGGTTTCCCCCTGACTTTTTTCTCCACAATAACCCCCTCTTCTCTTATTTTCCTCTTCCTCTTCCTCCTTCACCTCTAACTCTATCCTCCTTCATTCTCTGTGAAAGCGGGTAACGTGAAACCCACTCTTGGGAGTCTCCGGGGGCGTCGGGGTTACAAAGGGTGATCAATATGTGCCAGAGAAAGTCTTTAGACAAGTGAAAGAAGCCACAGTTTGTCCACTCCCTCCTGCTTTCTCCTCCCTTCCTTCTTTCCCCTTCTTGTTGTCGGGATTGACAAGGTTAGGTGGCCCTAACACCCACTGACACGTTTCCTCTGTGTGTCTTAAAGCTGACTGACATCAAACTCCTGGCACAGCCTGCTTATACCCAGTTTTGCACCTTAAAAAAATAGCATTTTTAAGATGCTCTTTGATTTCTTATTGATATTTCTTAATTGTTATTTGATTTTTTTCCCATTTATAATATGTAACCTGTTGCTCTCCAACAGGTGGTGGACGACATGGGCAACATCAAGTTTGCGCTGGACACAGGCCCGGACGCCACCAGCAACAGCTGGCTCAAATATGTCCGCTCTGCCCTGTCATTTGAGGAGCAGAATCTCGCTGCCTGTCACCTCACCGGAGACCAGGTGAGTGACATGACAGAGATGTCCCGGTTGGATTTGTACTCCAGATATGAGAGAAACAGCACTGTGTTGTCAGCAAAAGGCAGAGAGTTTTGAATTTGTGTGTGTGTGTGTGTGTGTGTGTTTACCACTGAGGTATCAAAATGTGTGTGCTGGTAATGACCAAGGAATGGCTCTATTGTGTGTCTGTGGCTGGGCCAGTTGCCAGTGCTGTTAGGAAATGACCCATGTGAAGAGGCTGAAGAATAGCCTGACACTCCTGAGTCCCATATTAACCATTATCAAGGCACAGTCTTCTTCTGTGGAGGCAGCAGTTTCTCCCCCTTTTTGCTTCTTATGTCTCATCTCTCTCTCTCTCTCT